TTAGGCCCTCCAATGGCAAAGAGATTGGTTCACTGTTTATACAATATTTATTTTTCTGCTGTGTTTTCAAAACATCGTATTCTTAACAGAAAAAACCGACCGATAAAAAATTAAATCAACTGTGAAAAATAATAAAATCACATATATTCACTCAAAAGAAATACAACTACAATTCCCACAATCGGTATCGTAACTACTTTCTAGTGGAAACAAAGAATTCTAGAAAACTGCCCTTTCTTCCCTTTCACTTTCTCTCTTCCGTATCATATATAAAAATCTTCAAAATATTTTCATTAATAATATCTAAGCTGTATATGATCAGGTCACCTAGGCATATATGGGTTACGTAATAAATCAACAAATTTGCTTACATTTACCTTAGATGACAGAATTCCAAGATTCGTCTCAAGGTCAACAAAATTTTGCTATCCAATGCATTTATGCATATTTTTTTAATTTTATAATATAACTTAAAATTTACATTGTACGTAATTGTTTCCTTTGTTTTCAACAAGTACGTTACGTGATAAAAAAAAAAAAATAAATAAAAAATAAAATATAGATTCATCATCGTTCGTACATTTCCTTTATATTAAACCTTTGCATTTACCTATATAAGTGCATGTGCATATGTACACACGCTTATATATGTACCTATTTATTGATCATTTTTGTTTAACATGTTTGTAACGTAGAGTAATGGAATCACAACTGATTAAAACAGCTGACTGAGTGTATAAAAGAGAACTGACGCGTTTGTATGTGTTTCTTACATATGTGCTATAATAATGAATACCACAGAAAATCTAATATTTCTTTATGTTTTTGATTATTTTTGTTTTTGCTTTTTTGTTTATTTATATTATCATTTTTCCAATCTCACAGCATAAAATTCTCTTTTATTTGCTCTCTCTACTTCTCTGGTATACTTACTTTTTACAAAGCCACTACTACACGACAGTTACCTTCATCTGTGGGTGTATGTACTTATGGGGAACCAACCCATATGTTTTATATATATATATGTACAAGTATGTTTGTGATGTGTGTTTGATTGCTTTTACATATATACATATATATATATATATATATATATATATATATATATATATATATTTAGTATATGGATATTCTCTTCACTCTTATCTGTAACTATTGGTGATGAATAACTGGGGTACAAATAAACGCACACAACTGCAGACTACAACCCATAAAGCAATAAAGAATAAAAACCTTGAAACATTTTCTCATATAATTTGCCGGAGAAAGAGTCTAACTGCAAAGAGAAATTCTGAGAGTCTTCGTTTATTATTTAAACTAACTTATCGTTGAAAAGACAATCAGTAGCGGGGGACCTTTTTCTTTTTTATAAAGCTGTGGGTATATAGTCCGTATACTCGTTGAAAGTATAGTAATTTCATCATTCCATATGTAATGAAGAGCATATAAATATCTATAATCGTTGAGTGCGTAACTATCTGCTATTGTCTGCATATGTAAAAATTTAATTTGCAAAAAGTTTGTGTTTATAGTTTTTACTTAACGTGTTCGCGGACTGTGTGAATGTATTCATTTTCGTTGTTATGCAAAACGACATGATGAACGCTATAACATTCAAATTTCCAACCAATTATTTTTCATTTAATTTTATATAAATCGAGAAGTGTTTAATTATAGTACTTGCAGAAATGTTTATTAACTGATCCTTTAGAATTTCAGATCAGTTGAAAAATTTGATCTATATTGTCGTGAATTCTATAGCATTCGTTGCATAAATCCATTAAAATATGATATTCAAACAGCTTGCGGATATAACACTAATTTTAAAGTGACTATCATTTTTCGCACTTCACTGAAATTTTTACTGCCCACGAATGTGTTAATGTAGGTACAAAGTAATAATATAGATGAAATAAAAAAAGGTTTGCCTACTTTTAAACTATGAAGTTCATGTACCCTAATCGAGAAATTGCTTACTCCGCATTCGTCGTTCCGCTTGCAACAGCCAAGCTACTTGCATTAACATGACCAGAATGACCAGAGTGCCCTTCTTCCGAAACCTGCATTTCTTTCTTAAGGCTATGTAATTAAATTAAAAGAGGTACGTATAGGGGAAGCACATAACGAAATAAGAAAAAACTGCTTTAAATGGAGGAATAACAAGCTGTACTAAAGTTATGGCCAATTTTCGTATTTGTTCGTAATAAAGTCATAATTACATTTTCTTCTTTATTGAGGACACGTACTGCGCTCATTTTTAAACATTATTTGTGGGCATAAATTAAAGATATATATCCCAAGTTTCCAACAACACACCCCACGCAGACGGACAGACATGGCTAAATCAACTTAGAATTGCACGCTGATCAAGAATATATATATATATATATATATATACATTATAGAGTCTCAGAAGCTTCGTTTTGTGTGTTACATATACATTATAGACGAGAACACAATGAGCATACCCTCACCTTACTACTACAGTCGCGGGTACAATAAATATGTAATTACCGATCGTTTGAAAAATATTTTAAGATTCGTTAAAAGGAATGTATTCTGATAAATATTTTTATTGCATGTATATACCACAATCACACAACAGCTTGAGATTCATCCTCCGTCTACAACATCTTTGAATATTGATATTATATTGCAAGATTATCTGTGACAAGGAAAATCATTTTTGCAAATTCACAAAACTAATAACCTAAAAAAGTTTATCAATGTATTTTAGATTGCATGTAGGAAGGTTTATAGAAAACTAATACAATACTGCATATATATAAAACTGAACTACATTTTGTACAAAATTCTAGATATTTGTGAAGTCAACGATATTAACGCAGAAACTAATTGGAATCTTTTTGAAAAATTATTAGTAAATTATATAAGCAAAAATTCTTAATAATAAAGCGTCATAATAACATTTTGTAGTATCCATTCTTAGTCGGTATTACCGTTAGTTCGGAGAACCTGTTATTTCACACAGATGACGTTTTTTTCATATGTTTTTCCTTTTACCTTTATTCAACATCTTCTTATGTCAGCTGAGTTTTATGTTAATACGTGAATATATAAGATATATATGAAAATGTATATGTATAGGTAATTGTTGTTGTTTTTTCGTACACGTATATAAACGAACGTATATATTCGCTCAGCTATATACTAAAAATTCTATGATAACAGTATTTTGAACGTGAGTGTGCAGTTGCTTTGTTTCGATGTATCAGCATTTTCAATGATGCAAAAAACATATGATTGCTTGTGCGCATGAAATTGAGAGTTGAAACTATAAGCAAAGTGAAAATGAGATAGGGCGAAAAAACAAAGAACGAGAGAGTGTGTTTCATAGTATGTTATAACAAAGTGTAGCAACATGTTGTTTAAAGAGAATCATTTAGATAGGCTTCTTATAGATGCAAAAAGAGAAATAATATAAAAATGACTTTAAAAAAAAGTTATGAAAAAATTATAAAATAAATTAACTGAGAATGTTTCACCTTGAAACGAATCTTGAATACTCATCACGTGGGATAAATTATTGAATCTTGATCTTGATCTGATCTGATCTGATCAATTTTCATCCAGATTTCTTTTTTGTTAATTGATTTTATATCTCACTTGGCGAGCTTTGATCTCGATTTCGACAATTTTCAATATTATGTATGTATTAAACAAACATTTGCAACATATATGTTCGTATATATACGTAATTTAATAATTTTTCCTTGATTTGCCTATCATTCTGTAGTTTTGTAATTCCTACGTGTAATATTTTAGTCTCATCAAATATAAATTCACATTAAGGATCTCCACCTAATCAACATTCTATGTGTATTTCTGTACACTTTCATCCCCCATATTTGTTGTTGATTTGATGATTGAGACAATTTTTGCATAATAGTTTTAAGTGACACTATTGTCTCGCTTTTAGCTGGTTATCCCAGAGTTGTAGGCGAATTCAGTTCATTGTTAAACTCTGATGAAAGGCAAATCTTATTTTTCTGCTTCTAGTTTGAGAGTTTTAACAAAAAAACAGAGAGAAAGTAACGCCGAAGAAATCACTTACTTAACAGTAGGATTTCTTTTCGAGACCTATGTTGCCCTTTGTAAAGCTTATAGCTCTTTTGCACTGCTGAAAGTGAATGAGGAAAAAAATGAACTGTGTTCCAAAAAGAAGATTCCACCGAAGCCCAAAACAATGAAAGACTAAAAACACTTAAGTACGTACACTCTTATATGTAGTTGGATTCTCCCGAAAAATGGTTGTGTGTTACAAAGGAAGTATCATATCTAATATATAATGAACAATTTGCTAGTAATTAACATGAAAAATATATAGTTATGTATCTTAAAACAAAAACGTAGGGAAAACCAAAAACATAAATGAGAATTTTTCCACTAACTGTTATTACAACCTATCAGTTATCAGAAAATATAAATATAGATGTTCATCACATATTGTATGTACTTCTGTGTAAAATATATATTTCTATGTATACGCATATACGAGTTGCATAGTAGTCTCTCATATGTTTTCCGTTTTTTCATGTTTTGTATGACAGCTTATTGTTATTGTTATATACAAAATGTAAATATCATAGGCAATAGCATTCATGTTTATGTATTCGCTTTATTTGTATATATTACGCTTTGACGTGTTGTCGTTTCTGTTGTGGTTTTGTTTTCTTTTTCAATTTTTTTTCAGTTTTTTTTTCTTTTTTTTTTTTTTGTTATTTTTTCTTTTGCATTTGTTCATGTATATACATGAAGCTAGCGCTACGCTCAGCTGTTTAGAAAGTCATGGCAGTGACTGTTATTCACAGTATATATACAGTAGAAGCTAAAAATTTTTTGTTAAACTTTTTTTTTTGTTTATATAAAAGTTTGTACGTTAGTTGAACACACATTCATGCTATACTGGTTGTGTGCGCATTATATGTTTGTTTATATGTATAAAATATATATAATGTGTATATAACTATGTATTATAGGTTGGCTGCCTGGTTGACTCTGGCTGGCTAGTTGATTGTTGGGTCTTTGTTGTTTATAGAGTGTAGTTTCGATTTTCAGTCGAATTGAAGCAACGTGAGCGACAACAGCATTAAAACGGAATCAAATGCAAAAAGGTAGAGCGAGCACTAAGAACGCAGCCAACACGGAGTGTAGTCCAAGTGCAGCTAAACGGACAGACATTGTGTTTTGTGTGTACGTAAGAGTGTTTACATACATCAGACTGTCTATATACTTTGTTATGGTATTGCATTATACGAATATAAAGTTATATAGAAATACTTAATTTTTTTTAATAGTGAAAAAAAAAAAAATAAATAAATAAATAAAAGAAGAGGAGCAATAATATATACATTAAATTGTATATATTGAAGTATATATTAAATATATGCTCTGCTATGCAATATGGCATGTGTTTATGCATAAATTTGTATACATATAAGTATGTATGTACGAATACTGAAAGTATATAAAACAAAATGCTGAATCGCCGTTCTATACCTTACTACAATCAAACAGTACTTATAGGGGGCGTCCAGCAATGTGTGTTCTTCCTGTGAACCAAAAATTTAAATTCAATAACCCAAACATCATCACAGTTGTAGCAGCTCACAACTTTTTTTGTGATACTAGTTTTCTGAGTAGTGCGTGTAAGTGTGCGTGCGTGACTGGCTGTGTTTATGTCGCCCGTTTTCTTTCTTTGTTCAATCCCTAATATAAAACTTGTTTTCCCCCAACAACAGCAACAGCAAGACAACACAAGAAGTTTTTAATAGGAGAAATTTTGTGTTTTAAAGCCACCAATTAAATAAATATAATCCTTGCAAGAAATTTTACGAGAAAATTTTGAGAAGGATTGTTTATAAAAAAAGTCTAAAGACGTCATAAAATTTAACAATAAATAATCCCCAAATGCAGTTTCTTGAAAAAAGAAGGAGGTAGAAAGAAACAATGTAATGCACAAATGGATAATGTAATACGCTAGAATATACAAGCACTAAACAAAAAGAAATTTTCCTCGAATGTAATTTTCGACGTAATTGCTTGAGGAAATGTAAAGAAGAAATAACCATAGCAGAATCGCAACATTTGGAACATATCCAATATCTACTTAGCAACATAGCTCTCACAAGCAAATCTATGCAAAAAAAATAAATAAATAATAAAAAAAAAATAAAATACGAAAATTACTTAATCATGTAATTTTCCATAATCTCCTTTTAAGCACAAATATTTTAATAATAAACGCTAATATCAGTTCAAATCATTTCGTAAAAAAAAAATTTCAAGCTTTATTATATCCTTAAAAATTAAATAACAACAATAAAAAAAAAAACTAAATATTGTTTTTAACATTTCATTGTTAAGAGTTACTCCTCAATTTATCTCTTACCTATCGATATTCTCTCTCTCCCTCTCTCTCTCTTTCGTTCTCTCCTTCGCGAACGTTTGTTTTGAAGCTAAGAAAAAAGAAAAAAAATTCAAATAAAGCTTTAAAAGTAAACAACAACAAGAAATTATATCAACCTCCGTCAACATCTACTAGTAGCAACAACAACAGCCACGATATTCATGTAAGTGTTGCTTATATACATTTCTGATTTTATTTTCTTTTTTGTTTTTGTTTGTTTTTTTTTTCTTTTTTTTATATTATTTTATCTCCGTTAGCAAGAGCATGTATTAAGCATATGTGGTTTTGTTTTTGGCTGTTTTTAGAAAAAAAATGTTTAATGGAAAAATTGACACATATTCTCATATGTCGCAGATATACAAAACATCAAACGTAAGAAGAGTAAGAGAGCTTAGCAAAACTAATAATTAATTTGGCATTAAACGGCTTTCAAGTACCCTAACATAGTTTTTCTTTATTATACTCTAAGGTAGTGTTACTTTACCTAGTTCTGTCTTGTAAAGAAGGGAAGACAAGAAAGTTAAAAATTGAAACCATAATTGGCCAGAATTCGTTTTATCTGGATATTTTTTACGTTTGGTAATTTCAGCCGCAACGCTCTCGATCACTTGCCCAATTAGTTCTTTGGATAGTATAAAATCGCAAAAAGCAAGTAACGTGTGCCGCTTTAAAAAAGGACACAGTCCGATAAATTTTAAAGGTGGAGACTAATCAATATGTCGGTATGGGACAACTTTTTAAAATAATTCTTTAAAAAAAAAAAATGGCGGCTGAGGAGTTCTCGCAACACAACCGCTGATCTTTATAATGCCTTCTCGGTTGCGCCTTTAAGTTATATCATAGCAAAGTTCTCTAATGATTCAAGAGGATCTTCTGAAAACATTGATTTGAAGAAAATGCCATTGACTTTGGTAAAAAATTCCAAAATAATCGATTAAAAAATCCCTTTACAAAAATGAGCAAATCAAATAAATCATTCGTATCGCTAGGGAATGTGTACACATTAAATTTGAAGTCAATCGGTAAAGACTTGAACGTATTTAACGTATTTTATTCTACAGTCGGTCCATAAGCATTGTTACGAGATCATCTATGACTTTAAATGTACAATAAAAAAAAATAGGAAAATTGGCAACGTGGTATTGCCTCTTAGTATGAAATCATCTCATAATTTAATTTATAATTCTTACATAGTTGAACAAGTTCCTTAGTACAGGGTGGTTGTGTTTCATTTTTTGTGGCTTTTTTTTAAACATAAATTGTGGTATTTTTGCCGCATTTTATATAAACTTCAAAGTGCAAATGCAATTCTCTATTTAGAATTGTTTCAATTCAGCATACTGCGCAAAGTTTGTGAATGATGCCAACTTTCCACTTTATGGATAAAAGCGATCATGCCAATAGCAAGCACAATAACACATATGTTATTATGGAAGAGAGAATAATAAATGGATAAAATGGAGGAAAATTTGCCCTATCAAAGACAACACGCAGGCGAGAAAAGAATAATTAATATTTAAAGTAATAAAAGCTTTAGTGAATTGAATTCTTTTATACCCTACACTACTACAAAGCTGTAAGGTTATATTAGGTTTGTGCGGATGTACACAACATCCAGAGGGGCTTGAGTTAGACATATCTTTTATGATACCGATCGATTCAGGCCATTTTTTGAATCGATTCAAGCTTGATTGTCTGTCTGTCTGTCTGTCTGGCGTTCTTATGTTCAGCTATTAACTACAGAGCACAATTTCTGTTATATTCTGAAGAAATTTGGTATACTAATGTGTTTTGGCCTAAGGACGAACACTATTGAAATGTGTGACATCTTATTTTGAAAAATCGTTGTATAAATAATTGTGGGGTGGTGTCGGATATTTAACGGTGAATGTGTAATCCGTGACCCATCATAGGATTTCTCTTTTTCTTCTTTTTTTTTAAGAAAAGCAGAACATTGCCTTTTACTAATTTTTCTCGACTATGAGAGGAATACATGTCTTGCGAAGGATAAGCCTAACTAGAAATGCGAACTCTCTTTAAACTCTATATCTTTGTTTTCAGCATTACACTTTAGAAATTTTGCTAAGAATTTCCTTAATTAGCTATCAAAGCGTCGACAGCATTAGGTGCGCTATGGATTATTTAAAAAACTATTTTCTGAATTGTGAAGAAAATTTTCGAAATAACATTTCGTATGATAAACTGTGCATACCTTTAAGACTACTTCATTTCAGATTGAAAAATTCGGAAGGCGGATTTTGTGCTTATTCTCTAACATTATTATAATATTATATGCTATGGTTAGTATGTTGCTTGATTATTGATTAATCGGAAGACCAATTGTATTCGTGGCGTTAGCTATTTGAGTGAAGAAGACGAATATAAATTGTAAAAACATTTTTAAGAGAGGGTATAATCAGTGTTCTAATGGCTCTTCTTTCGCGTTCCATGTAGGAATCGGATAAACGATTCAACAGGAACGTACATATATATAACTTTCCTGAATTTGTTGTCGGAAAACATAAGATTCCCTCAAATTCGAAAGTAAATAGAAGTACTATGAAGAAAATCTTGCTTTGTAAAAGAAGATGAAATCCACTAAATATATTATAAATTGCCGATATGAATATTTGCGTCTTTCATTTCTCATCTAAATATTTCTTCCAAAATGCAACTTTCTTCGTGCCTTGTTCTAGCTCTCTTTTCTTAACTTTTCCGATATCTTCCATAAATTTCCCGTTTTTAATAATATATACTTTTTATTTATAATCTGAGCATCATTGTTTTTAGTGTGTACACATGAAATTCTTTCTATTACATTTGTTGTTATCTCACTAAACATTCAAAAAGAAGAAGAATATTGTTCTTATCCGTAATGTGAAAACTTACCATCATTCTCTACACTCAACATAAATTACATACGTAGAATTCTATTCTACATAGAATTGTTTCAATTTAATATACAATCGTAATTGAACTGCGAATTTTGCATAGAGGGCGACACAAAAACACAACTACTGACTGGCCTTGCTTTGAAATCAAATATTACCTTTAGGTTTTTTCCCTGCGTATTGCTAAAGTTTGAACTACACAGATTTTTTGAATACGCCTAATTAATTGTGATGGACGGTCTTCCGAAGCGCAGAAGCAGTTTAGCCAAACCGACCACATGCCTGTAAAGCTTGGCGTCCAAGCTGTTTTCGTGTTCCTGTGTTAATTGTAAATAAAGTCAAATCGTTGTTATGGGCCACTTTTATCAACGATCTTGGACGATTAGCAAGGCGGGCAGGGCGAGACTTATCTGCAACTCTAATTTTTTTCTGCATCTGCGACCGTCATGACACTTCCCGAAGGAAGGAACTCTGCCGCAGTCAAAGTTTGTGCCTTCCAATCCCCGCGTGTCGTGCTTTTGGGTTATTCCGCATTACGTGATGTGTTAAAGCCACTCTTGCAGTCGGATTATTACTTCATACTGCATTATCATGGTTTTTAATGTACAAAGAGCAAATATTAACGCAACAAGGGCGGGTATCCCATCATACGATTATTCCTCTGGCTTCCTCGATTACTTGCAAACCCGTCAGTAAATCTTCAACTTCAACACTACCTAATTGCCTAGTAGGGAAGTCTGCAAGCGGACGCGTCTTGATCCTCTCGCTTACTTCTCCATGTTGATGTTCCATCCGCATATTGTGAACTTCTCTAACCCTTATAAAACACCACTGGATTGAACGTTACTAACAACTATTAATGCAAATGCGCCGATCGCTAAAGGAAAAATCACTACAAAAACCTTGTTCAATATAACAATGCTCCGCCATTTATAGGACTACTTATCCAAGTAAGGCCGCATATCGGTGATACATTCAAAATTCTACTCATAAAACGTTGCCGCCCCGTCTGATGATGGCTTGTCTAAGTCGACGATTTTCAGCCTCCTTTAGCGTTACTTCTATTCTTACGACTATACCTACCAATATGTCCACCCTTGGATAGCCATAGTAGGCGTATTGTGACCTAATCAGCATGGATTACATATATATGTTGCCAGAAAGATGTGAAAAGTTACGTGTCATGAAACAATGAGATATTTTTCACCAAATTTTTTTTTTAAATAAAAACATTTCGTTTTATTAAGAAATCCTTCGAAATTAATTCTTATACGATATTATTTGTTTCACGTAAACTTCTCTTACTGTAGTTGTGGCCCGTTAAGTTTGATATAATCAATAAATGAAATTAGACATATGACGTATATGTGTACACATTAAGTGATGTGAATACGTGTGCGCGGTTTTGTTTCCCTTTTTTAAATGCTTCAACAAAATTTATTTATAAAAATATATAGCCTCAAAACCTAAAACAAAAAAAAAAAAAACATGATAACTGATTCTCTCAATTTTTACGCAGTTTCTCTTTGTTTCTCGCTATGCTATTTCTTGTTGTTTTTTTTTCTTGTTAATTTTGTTTATTTTTGTACGTTTGTATGCATATACTCGTTGCAAGCGAGTAGAAAAACTCTATTCAGTTTGTGGTGAATCTTAGATATCCTCCTCCACCTAAGCGATTTGTTTCTTAGTTTCAGGTTTTTTAAAATAATATTTATGTTAATAAAATAACTAAATTACTGCAATTGTCAGCGAATTCCAATCAAGTATATTACACTTATTTTATTGCAATTCTATTAAAAAAAACCGCTACTCAAAGTACTAAATGCACTGGAACTTGAAAACTTCAAGTCAATAGCAATTCAACAACAAACAATTCACTGTGCTGAGTAAAACATGAGCAGCATTTATGACGTATTTTACTTCTCTTACTAGCAAAACGGAGATTATTGATTGGCCCATGCAGGCGATGAATGGGCGGAACGCCAATGCCTAAACTGGTTTGCAAACTTCCTTTTCGAGACTTTTGCATCACGATCTGGAAGGCCAGTAGCAGCTGATAAAGACAAAATAAAGGCATCAATGGAAGCGAATCGCCGAATGACAATTCGTGAGATCACTGAGAGAGAATTTCTCTCCGAATCACCAAAGTTGACGATTACTCTCAGGAAAAGATTATACAATTCAATGCGCTACAGAGTTTTTCTTAATGATAACATCATTTAATCAAAAGAAAGTTAAATAACCTCTACGAAGTGGCAGCGAGTGCATCAAAAATTGTACGTAATTTTTGACCAACAACAAAATGTGATCAATATTGAAAATTTCTTCGATTATGAAGATGAAGACCGGCTGGCTCTGCTTTTCATATGACCGACACACTTGATGCCTCTAAAAAAAAGTATTCACATATTCATCTAACGAGAAGTAGTTTTCGAAAAAAAAAACAAGTTTTACTTTCTATGTCTACTCCTTCTTTGTTAAAAAAAATTCTGACTATCTTACTACATAATGGTCCGCATAGGGGAACAACAAATTATGCTAAGTGTTTAATAAAGGGGCAAACCGCAAACATATTATATTTTGCTTTTGCCATTATCGTTAGCACAAAGTCGGGCAAGGCAAGACTTAAGAGGCTTGCAAGTAAGCTTTCGTATCTACGTACGTTATCAAAAAAAAAAAAAAAAAAAAAAAAACAATTGATAACACAGACTTATATTATGTGGCTGCTTCAATGAATACTTGAATGAGGATTATTTAATGCTTGCCACCGAATTGATTCGCGTACGTGTAGCAAAGAAATTCGTTGAAGACTTGCTTAAATCATCCTTTCTACGTTAACATGAGTTGTAGCAAAGAAATTCGTTGAAAACTTGATTAACCCCTTGTTTCTACGCGAAGAAGGGTGAAATATGTGCAAAAACGAAGTTTTGCTTCTCGTTCAAAATGTTGCTTTTAGGTTCATGCGTGTGTACACATTGCGTAAAAAGTATCAGTATATCAATTTCGAAAAATTTGGATGTAGTAAGAAAATCACTTAGACTCACTTTACAATGAAAAGAGGTCGCGCTTAACTGCATCTAGATATTTTCTGCAACAATCATTGCATGATATAGAGACGTGATCATCAGGAGCCCTTTTATTGTTTTGCTTCCGCCGAAAAAACGTAACGGACCTGCTGTTCATTCGTTTTTCACGCCATTACCATTGTCGGTACCTACTGCATTCCGAAGTTTTATGCAATCTTAACTTCACAGAAAAGTGTGTGACCTTTGTGCACGCATTATGAACAGTGGCCAATGGCTCAAAAATGAAGGAGTGCCAATTCCATCTAAAAAAAGATTTTGATTGTTTCGATGATTTGCAATTATTTCGAGAGCAAAGTTCTCCCCTTAATGTTTATATATGCATTTCAGTGAAGGGCGTCTATGAAAAGTGGTAAGTGAACTTTACATAGAAAAAAGTTACAATATTATGACGAAAATCAATGAAGAATCGTATTAGGTAAAATTGTGCAGAGTACTGAATGGTCGGTATTGTCCAATTGCTTTACTTTATTTTTTATTTCGCGATCGTTTTCATGTAAGTAAAGCAGTGATATGAATAGTTTTAGAAATCATTAGACTTGGAATTTAACGCAAAACTTTATCTATTTCCCGGTGCATTTGATTTATTTTGAGAGACTTTTGAAGACCCTTCATTTTTTAAAGGCATTATCATAAATGAACCCGTCAACCACGTTACCATACTCTGCGCAAACGAACAAGCAATTAGTCTATGTTCGAATTGTGGTCTTTGATAATAATAATCAGCATAAGTTTAGCCTCAGAATGTGTCAAACTCGCTACAAACAACAAACATGTACATATGTTCTCATTAAATATAACCCAACGAATCAGAAAGCGTTTATTTACTCGTGACAATGCAATTAGTATGACTCAGGCTGTGCTTGCGAATCAAAATTTTCAATTTCTACTTTACTGTTAGTAACCCTAAGGTAATCTTAATATTTCTGGAATAAACATGATTGTTGTAAACATTCGTTTCGTAAAATACCTACTCATCCCTTCACCGAACGAAAGACTATAATGCGATTGCGCTTGTAAGTACCCATTAAATCACCGACAAAGTAATACGAGTGGTGGGGTATCCATAAGTAATCTATTATTTGCAAAGAATAGCGCATCGATCTGCATTGAGAAGGAAAGACGTATTTCTTTATTGTTTTCGGCAAAGCAGGCTGTGTCGAAATTATTCCAAAAGCATAATATTTTTTTTACAATCCTGCAGCATCCACATCTTTCGAAGATCATAGTCGATAATCGAAAAAACTGTTAACGTGATCTTGATTTGTGAGCGACTTTGGGTCGGTTGTTTCGATCGTGGCTCACCTTTTGCACGATATTCGCTCGATTGGTCGTTTGTTTCCGGGTCGTATGCTTAAATCCAAGTCTTATTAACCGCAACGTGGCGCTTCATGATTGATTGATCATTCGTTGCTTAACACAATCACGCGTTGTAAAAATCGGAAAAAAATACTTTTTGCATCGTAAAAAACCAAGCGCAACTGAAACGTTAATGATGTCTATGATGTGATGCTTATCACAGTGCTACCAAGTTAGAAATGAAATATTTCTGATATTTGATATACCCGCGGAATTTCTCTTGAACATAGCGGTGGCAAAGGGAGATCAATTTAAGCGTTCTGTCTTCTTTCCGTCTGCTTTTATATGGCCTAGATGCCACCTAGAAAAGTAACTAATTTCCTCAAGCTTCCCTGCGTATTAAGCGGAAATATTTTATAGACCAGAAATTTACATATATTAATTTGCTTGTTAACATTATAAACCAGTTCTCAGCCCACGAGGAAAATCCAATTTATTCCGCTTTAGATACTGTTCAGAAAGTCATACCCGTGGGCAGCCAGCGAGTGCGGCATTCGCAAGGATGCGTAGTTATATCAAAAAACTCGGAAAGTTTTAAATCAAACTAAAGTTAAAGTAAAATTTATCGTCACGGAAATTACAGCGGAACAGTGCAAATTAGTACACATTTGCATAGCTGCTTGCATAGTTGTTGATTCCACATCATGTGACATCTTTAATGCAAGAAAAAGGAGAAGAAGAAGATGTCAGCTACTTGCAAAGACGTTTAAAGTAAATAAAACATTTGTCTTACTATCTACAAAAAAGATTTGAAACGAAAAATTCGTACAAATATTTACTGCAGCTATTTAGGCTGCTTATGTAAACAATCCGGAATATTATATTCGGTTGTGGGGGAACTTTGTAAGTCTACTACCCTTATTTTGAGAAAAAAAAGAAACCGCAATTAAATTGAAAAAAAGTGAAATTTTTATGCTCAGCAAAGATCTGATGTTTTTCATTTGCTTTCAGCGTAAAGTGCTAACAATTAGACTTTGTTACGGTATAAAGGCTTATGGGCGCAGTGTCAAAGATGGGAACGTACATAGTTTCCATTTGGTAAATTTAAATATTACTTCAAATCATTAATCACATTTCCAGACGTTTCCACCACAGAGGGCTTCAAATGCAAGTTCAAAAAACGGACTCATTCGATCTCAAATATTTTATATGCGGTTTTTGTTGAGTAATTTTCAAAACTTCCACCATTTTTTTCTCTAGCTCATGGATCTTTTTGAAATATATATATATAATTTTCTACTTCTTTCGAAAATGTCTTGACCTACAGAAAACAATTTTTGAAAACTCGAAACACTAATGTGTTTTTAGACCAATCACGATACATGCCAAGATCACTTAATCAGCTAAAAATTTTACGATTTTTCTATATTCGCTTGCCAGTATATAGTGCTCGCCCGATAAAATGAATAATCAATTTTCCCACTACTTTTAACAGATTAAATTTTAATAATTTTCAATTTTTTATTATTTTACAGAACGAATGCATTTTTAACAAAAATGCGAATTGAAACAACTTTGGCGTTTTATCCTAAAATAATCATTTTAAAAAGCGGTAAGTGCCACGAACAATAATACGAATTTTTGATATCCATTCATATTCCACAGACAACATATCGCACTTGCAAATCAAAATCATTGTCCGTGCTAGAGCAACAGCTAGAGTACAGTATTTTCAGCAAAGCTTCGATCGATTGTCGGTTAGGTGAGAGGGTAGCTCGCTGTGTAATAGTATTTCGACATTTTAAAGTGGTATGAAGAATGTTCAGCTGAGGCAATTTTTTGAACTCCCTCCCATATAACTGTTCCCACGAAAACTGAGTAAAATGATAAATAAATCATCCTCACGTAGTTTAGATTACCTAGGTCTATTTTTTTGGATACCACCCCATATAGGGATTCTCAGGAAATGTGAAATCTTATATGTCAAAAAGTACTAATTGCTAACGTTTTGTGATAAAAATTTGTTCATGAGAGTAGTTTGATATGAAAATTACCTAAACGAAATTTGAACCACATGCATCCATTTCTTGAGAATTTCTTATGAATAGTAAATCCTCCAGGAAACGGTTTCGTGACGAAAACTGGTTGAAAGCAGAATTTTACAAAAAAATTACCAGTAGGGAATTTGGATCCCATAGGTCTATTTTTAGACAGTAACATATTATCATGAAAAGCAAGCGCATGGAGAGAAAGTATAATTTTTAGTTTTTGTGACGGAAACTGACAAGTAATGAGATTTTTAGAAAATAAATTAACTTTGCAAAATTTCGATCGCGTCATGCGATGCTCGAACATAAGATATGGGGGTTTTAATAAAAAGTATGCTCTTGCATGAAAAAAAAACTATCTATATGAGGTGAAGTAGTGTAGGGTATTTACTGTTCGACCTTGTCCAGCTATAATGTTGTTTTGTATGCTTTTGTTATACCTTACACCATTTGTGTGTGGTGCATATTAAGTTTGTGCGGATGTAAGTAACGCCTCGAAGGAGTTGGGATGGACCCACCTTCAGGATTTGAATCGAACTATGCTTTTCTATTCGTCTTTAATTCTTTTGTTACACCTACAGATTGTAAATTTTAAGAGATATTGATAAAATTTGCTATATTGACATGTTTTGGCTTAAAGTCGAACGCTATTAAAATGATTCGGATTGGACAACTGCTTCGTCCACTTCCCATATAACACCTTATTTAAAAAAAAAAAAAAACCATTACATGAATACCTGTAGAGTAATGTAGAGTATTTAACAGTGTCTCACTATAGCTTTTTACTCGTTTCGATTGCATAGGCGAAGTTTCAGCTTCCTGTCTTAATTTATACGGTCGTGAGTGAGCGTTGTGGCGGCACCCATTCACAGCGTGGGCCTGATTTAAATGAAAAATATTTAATTTCACAGGGTGCCTGATGATAATTCCTGACTAATACGAATAGCTGGGCAGAATTAGTCTCCACTGCTTGATAGTGGGTATAAGAATAAATTTTGCGCATGGAATCAAACGCAAATGCAATGCAACTAACAGTAACTAAGAATTGTTCGCTGGGTGTGCTTTTGCGCTTTTGCTTTTGCTTTTGCCTCTTTTTTAAGATTTACTGTATGTATCCTAAAACGTAAACACTTAAGGCAGATTATTTGATTGGTATTTACTTAACGCAGCAAGAATCACCACTTAAGCAAGGCCAAAATAATTTAAGTTTTTGTTATTGCATCGTTGAAATAATTAACATAAGCCTATTAATGCTATTATTATGCATGTTATGTTCAAACGCTGCTGCTATTTTTATATTTCTCTTAAGAAAATATTAAGGCGTGCTTTTTACAAAACCAACTGTTTATGTGTGCACTTATTTACGCACACACACACATATATATATATACAAGCATACACACACACACACACACAAAACATCTAAGTGCATACAAGTTTCTCTTATGTTAATTATGTTCTCGTACGCAAACTAAACTAAGTAAAGAAAAAACTTACAATGTTATTGTTTCATGAAAACTGAAATGTTCGTGCATGCTGTTCTAAATAGCATATGCAGGTCAAGACTTCAAACAAAACAACAGTGTATATAAAAGTTAGAGATGTTGGCAACGTACGAACAGCTGTGTTGATTATATAAATTTTAGTAACTTTTCATTATATATTTGTTCGCTTGTAAGCAACTTTTTACTTGCAGTTGTTTGTTTATCGAGACATGTGAAATTTTATTAAATTTTTTATAGATTTTTCTTTTTCAAAGTTATCAAAATCTTGGCGAATTAACATCTCTTATACATAATATATCTATTAATTATATAAAATATATTCAGCACTTTTTCAATGCAAAATAATTAATTGGTACACGTTTCGATAAAATTTTCGTTTTCTCTTTAATTTATAAGCCATAAGCTGTGGCAAATACGTGAACACTTTTAATACTTTTTCCGTTTATTACTTATCCCCAATTTAAAAGTTATCATCGTTGAAAGTAACAGTTTTTTTTTTTTTTTTCATTTCTGTAGCATAATAAAAACTTGAAACTTCTGTTGTACTATATATATATTATATGAGCAAAATGTAAACAAAAAGAGACTCAAATATTATTTGTGTTCTCTTGCTTGCAATTTTTCCCTTTCTCAGCAACATGTTTCGAAACTTTAAAAACATTGAACTGGTTTTTTGTTTTTTGTTGCCAGAGTTTTTATGCATATATAAATCAATTTATTAGTACGATGTTTGTATATATATATATATATATATATATATATAAGTGTGTGCTGTTATGAAATCGGATTTGAAAGTAATGAATGTGCGAATTGAAAAACCTTGTACCAGATAATGTGACGTCACATGCAATAGAAGTACTTCGAAGGGGTTTTCACAAAAAAAAAAAGAGGAAAAAAGGACTATATACGTGGTCTAGTTTCGCGCACATCTATCCTTATATGTTTATGTAGGACTATGAACTAGATTCTCTTAACCTACTGACCTAAATTTGAATATATTTTGTATTATGACCTTAATGCATATATCGACAAGAGAAGTAAATTCTATGTTCATGATATGTTATTTTAGTCCATTCGATATTCTAAAAATTCAAATATTAAAATTCAATATTTTTGTTCTTTATTTTCATTTATCTACTTTTAGTGTTTGGCAATTGAGAAAGTTTTTTTGAACATATTTACTTAACTAAAGTTATTAGCGAAGTAAAATGATACCAACAACTTTGACCAATTCATCATCGACACCAGTTACTGGCGTTGTAAATCCCATCAGTACGTTGAATAGTAGTAGCAATAATGCTATCAGTAATGTTGGTGGTTTGCCAAATCATGTTTCTGCTTTACTGGGCATAGCTTCTTTAATATTGGAAGGGCGAGCTTTCGTTGAAGATGAATATCCGCTACAAGCAGCGGTTAGAGGTGAATTACCATTACTGAGTGGAAATCCAATGGAAACTGGTCGTCAGTCACCGAAGCCTTCTACGTCACGTGCTGCTTACGGAGACCTGATGTCGGGCGCGAATGAAATGAATGCGTACTTATTACGCAAACTAAACACTTCTCCCGACTCTACTCTATACATTGATTCGTACAGTAGCAGTAGCGGTAGTGCTTCTTCTTCATTTGACAGTCAACAAAGTCGTTGGTCACAAAAGCTCAGCCAACTACGACAGGAATCACCCTCCTCTAATGTTCAGATGGTTCGTAGTGAACAAAAAATCGCCGTGGAAGGTATTCGACATGCCAGTGAACCTGAGTATGTGGCCTTGGCCATTAAAACGGACACTGGTGAAAACGGTGAGCGAGAAGCTGACTTTGAAATCATAAGACGTATTGCTTTAAATCGTATTAATATGTACAATTCGCCTAACTCAATCAGCGGTGGTGGTAATAGTAATAGTGTTGGTGGATCCGGTATCGGTTTTGGTAATGAAAACTTCATGAGCTCTTTGCAATCGTTAGCCACCAATACCTGTTTACGTGTAGGCAGCCCTTTCTTTCAAAGCAGTAGCGGCCCTTCTACTCCTAAGTATTCCTTTCGTGCAGTGTCTGGCGGCAACAACAATAGCCCACGTTTTCCCTCTCCCCAATTAGCAGATTTATCCACAGGTTCAGCCGGCAGCAGTGGCAGTGCAGTGCAATCACCGAAGTCATTGCTATGGCTGCGTAATATTCCGCCAGCGTCGACTGCAACAGCATCAACTCCCACGACGGCACGCATTGCTGTACCATTATCATCGAGTTTCGTTGCTGGCAAGCGTGACATTTCGGCTACAAGTTCAGTTAACGCTAGTAATCGTAACCAGGCTCCTCAACAAGGTCCACATTGTGATCAATTCCTCCGAAAGATGGGTCTCATGAAAACTGACGGTTGCGAAACGGAGGAACATTCCTGTGATAAGTCATACGTTAACATAACGGTATGTACAACATTAATGTTATCTTCTACATCTTGTATCCGACATTTTTTTTATAAATAATTTTTGTGTTGACAGTGTACACGTTGGCGTGCCCATTGTCTTAAAATGGAAGCCATTTTGGCGCGCGGTGAAGCTATTTGCATAGAAGTTTATCTTGGTCCAGTGGGTCATAAAATACTATTAGAACAATGGATTATAAACCTGAAAGAAAAGTGAGTTCATATCGAGTTTAAGGGGTTAATATGATGAATTCAACTCATATATATTGTTTGGTTAGACAACCACCGCCCACTATGACGCTGCCTTCTTTATGTAGTGCCATTCGTAGTCAATTGTACTTCTCACAAGTTAGTGCCTGGTATGATTTAATAAAAAAATCGGACAAGGCGATTAGCGAGACAGGCCGCCTTATATTTACAACGCCGTTAACTAGTGCTGCTGGCGATTTAGCAACGTTGGCTGGCAACGCGTCATCGAATCCTGCCTTAACAGCAGCAGCCGTATCAGTTGCAAGTACATTATCATCCTCACCGTTATCATCATCAGTAGGGTGTTCGCAAAGGCGTCCGCGCCTTAATATACTTTATCGTATTAAACAATACGATTCCACTGCTTGCTTTAATTCGAAACCGAATGTTCATAATTTTCCAAATGTCAATATATCGGAAAATTGCTGTGTGTCGGTTTGTTTGAAAAGTCTTCCTCGTTTTACCGGGGGTATACCACCGAAGGTTGGTAATACTCTCCCTGTGACAACGCAAATTTTAAATGCATCAGGAACAATGGCGACTACAACAAAAAACCATACCCCAGCCTTAAACAATTTAACCATGAACTGTGATAATAATGTAAAAGAGCGCTGGCAACAACAACAACAACAACAGCAGCAGCAACAACAACAAAAATTAAAAACAGCGGCAAAAATGATATCAATATCAACGAATCAAAAGGAAATAAAATCTGTGAATTTTACTACTGCAACCAACGATTGCGGAAATGAAGAAAATGGAGAAGAAGAAGAAGAAGATGGCAATTGTAGTGATAATAGTTTAAAAAAAGACGCTTCTGCAAAAATTGTTGAAAGCAATTGCTATGACGTCGTTAATGTAGATGACGGTTCCAATTCCTCTTTTAGTACAAATAACGCGAATTTAACTCATCGCGAAAAACAATTACTTAAATATCGCAAACGCATGTTTAAACGTGATAAAAAGCAACGCAAACGTGGCGAAAATTTTTGCGTTACCAACAACAATAACACCTCGACAATTAACCGTAAGGAATCACCAAATGGGAATGATTTACCGCAGCTTATGGATGAGGAGGTGGGCGACGAAGAAGATGGCGACGATGAGGACGATGATCAGGACGATGAAGGATGTCATATGGAAATAATGAAAAATTTTTATACGCCCTCGTCACCGACAATAGATAAAAGACAAGCGAAAGAGAGGGGCGGCGTTACCACTAATGAAACGTTACATCAAGTCAAAATGATCTCAACCGGCACTCAAACTTCTCAAACTCTGAATTGTTGTAGTTTTTGTGGCGGCAAAAGGAGTATGGTCTGTCTGAAATGTAATTATATCACAGATAAGAACAGTCGAAACAGTCTAAGTACAAGCAGTGGCGCTAGTATTCATCAACGAAGAAGATGCAATAGAAGTAATTTTTGTTCCACAAAGGAGTCGAGCGACTTGGAAATGGACGATTTGGAGGCAGAAGCTGAACGTGACTCATCAGCCAGTAGTCTCAGCAGCAATGATATAATACATACACCGCGTAATAAGGCGGAACTGTTGCTGCAGGCGATACAACGTACACCAAAAACGGCCAAAAAGCATCGTAAAACCAAAGAAAATTCGAGTGAAGCAGTACAAAAAAACAATTGCAATGACTCCACTGCCAATGCAGCAACGATAAATGATAGCTCTGTTGGCAATGTCATTCCCACCAGTAACATAATCAGTTGCCAGATGTGCAAACGTCAGAAAACCCAACATAACTTTAATCAGCCAACACAAATGATGACTGAGCAGCAGCAGCAACCAACAGCAGCCGAAACGACTGAAGACATTTCCTCAGATGAATGTTTGCTGTCGCCGATTAATATCAGGACAACGACAACAACTACCACAACTGCCTCAAATGATAATAAGAACAAAAACGATGAAACTGCCATTGAAAACGCTGGTCAACAAATTAGCGAAACGAAACTTGTCGGCCAAGAAACCGATGAAGTCAACTTACAAAGTAATGATGTAACTCATGCCGCAACAATACCTGCGGTAGACAATATATTAAACGACATTCACAGAATCGAAGTCATGGAACAGGTAAGAAAATGAGGGTCGTATTCGCCTTGCTTCAAAAGTATTCTGCCTATTATATTATAATAAGAAGGACGCAAGATATAAATAAGTAAATCAAGTGATTCTTAAGTACAACAGATTTTTGCAATCACAAGTAAACGTTGCTCGTAAGTGGAGAGACATAAAATTCCGATCAATCCGAAATTTTGAATTGAGTTGGAATCTTTTTTGGGGAAGCCCCTCTACCCTATTTCTTGTTATGTTGGAACTCTTTTTCTTCAATGTTTGATAAATAAGCGATACACTTTGTCTATATAACAAGAGATGGGACAGAGCATTTTCCGAGTCAATAGCCTAGATGACGTGGTAGCACTTTGCTCTAAAGAGTCGATGTAAATAAGATTGTAAATGAGATATGTCCTTCTGCGATACCGTGTTTACACACATGCATCAGAGTACCCATCAAGTGTATATAACTCTGTCTCGGCAGATGTCTTTTTGTCTTTTGATCAATTGACTGTGCCCCGACCCCTTTGGAAACTGTGCATTTAAATTGCGTCGCAAAAATTTAGCGATGACGAATATAGGCGACATATCAAGAGTATGGGTAGTACGGAATTAGGTGATGGTAAAATGATATATAGACATTCGTTTATGAGAAAATCCGACAAGTACGGATGGAAGGATCATGACGTATATACTCCAGTTAATTGGTTTAAAAATGAAATACAAATATTTCCCAGCATGACCCAGTTCAATATAAAAATAATGTCGACCTTTTATTCGCATCGTCTGTCTAGCGGTTTGAGTACATAAATACCACAAATTGTAAAGAATGTCCATTGTCCTTGCAAACATTGTCCAAGGTAATTTGTAAGGATAATTTTCATTTGCGTACATCGCCAGGTTTTTGTCAACAATAGTCGATAGTAGGTGCGTGTGAAAAAAAACACATGACAAAGGGCATACAGATCACGGATGGATGAATTGCAAGGAGTTCGAGACTTGGCACAATTTGGGCCAAGTATGGCCAGGTTGAAACATTAGGTGAACTCTTTTTGATCACTTGGCTTAAAATAAAAGAAATAGTTTTCCCCGTTTAGTTATTTAAAAAGTAAATTATTTGCAGGAATATTTTGAATCTTCCACGAAGCTAACGCCGTATATTGAACGATGTTCTCTGAAGCCTAGACGTCAGCAACTTCATATACCTCAGCAGCAGCAACAACAGCAGCAGCAGCAGCAAGTACAACAAGAACAGCAACAACATCATCATCATCATCATCATCAACAACAACAACAACAACAGCAGCAACGTAACTGTTCCAGCCCACCATTAATGAATGACGATATAGATCTACAGGCTAAAGGCGACAGTATTGCGAACGATGGTAACAGAATTATGGCACAATTTAAAACACCTACCGATTGTCAGAAATCGGGTAAAGCATCATGCAAACATGCATCGAAGCCGACACAATTAAAAATTGTGTGCAATTTTGATAATATAAGAGACTTTGGGGGCGATGGTGACGGTGACGGTGGGAATAAGATGCAAACCGACGCAACAACACCATGCAATAGCCGTACGCTAATATCGAAAGCTAATTTGACTAGCAATAGACGTAATTTGCTTAAAGTAAATCTAACACCAATATTTTGTAATACAACTTCACCAATGACGATGCTAACGAATCAATCTACAAATGCCATTTCGCCATCCATACCTATTGTGCAGAACGGTGCTAAGCAAAAAACCAAAGACGGTTCGAATTCGGCAGGGATTAGGACGGAGACATCATTGACGTTCTCATTTGAATCACCTACGAGCTCGTCGACATTACCTACAACGCCGACAGTACAAAAATCAAATTCTGCACCCACCTTACCTAATTCACCGTCGTTGTCGCCACGTTTCTTTAAGGCTTCAACTATATACAAAAGGCGATCACGTCATCTATCCGATCGGTCGGATCGTTCATCTCTCGGTTCGGATGAGCAATATTCGGATGAGGATAACGAATGCAATTTATTTAGTCCTTTAGTAACCTCACCTATTAAATCACGTCACCGCTTGACCAGTGTTTTCGCACGCAAGTCACTATTGGGAAATTTAGAAGAAAATCTACTGCAAAGGCGACTAATGCCCAAAATTGAAGTCGTAGGCTTTCGGCTGTTATTGGGCGCATCGGGTGGTTTTTGTCCTACACAGTTAACCATACCAGCGGCAGCTTATTTTTATGAATTACATGGTGAAACCCTTAGTACACCCTATCTGGTGAGTATAAATTTATCTACAATTTTATCATTTCTATTATGTTTTTTGATTCACATGTCATGCGGGAAGGGAGAGCGCAGTGCAAAACCAAAAAACACTAACAAAATATTTATAAGCAATTTATAGGATTATTGCAATCGAAATATTTTCCACAAAACCAATAATGACTAAATGCAATAGTGTTATCTATCTAATGGCTGCAAAAAAGATAGGAATATAAAGCCACCGATCCGCTTAGGTATGAAAATTAGTAATAGATTTTTTTAATATGTCGGTGTTGTCGGAGGTGAGCGACGTTGTAAGTAAGTAGTGTGCTAACTGTATGGCAGATCGAAAGAAATTTGAATTGGTTGATGTAATCGAGCTTAAGGGAGTAAACCAATGTAAATTTTCAAAAAAAAAAAGAAATTTTTTTTTTTTTTGCCTAATAGTTGTTTTGGACCCTCTAGAATACGTGACAAAAAGTATTCATTATCCACATGATATTTTTTCTTGTGATTTTTTCGGGAGAAGAGATCACCTACATATTATGAACAACTGGTGGAATCTACAAACTTAATGTTTCACTTATTGCTTTGTAACTTCTCCAGCACACTAAGCGATCGCTTCAGAATTCAGGTATTTAAAACCGTTTCCGCACAAAAATACGTTAGTGCAGCTTCACTAAGGCAACTCTTGGGTGGATACGGGATTGACAGCGATTTAAAAACTTTAGCAATACTTTTGCCAAGACGTTAAAAGTTTCGGATAAATTTTTGATGTCGGTTATGAAATCGGCTATTAAATTATACACTTCCTTGCCCTCGTCTCCCTCATGTAAAGCGAAAACATTCTGGCTTTGTTTCTTTGCCAGGCGCAGCAAAACATCCATTTTCGACCTTAGAACCATCAAGGAAAGAGAACGAAGGAGAATATTTGAATGTGGAAGGGTAGTCCTGGATTTGCCGACTAATGGAAAAAATGACAAAAAATGTACGCATTTTTCAAGACGGCTCTCAGCTTAAGTCAAACAATTCTCATTTTTTTCATGAAAATTTTATACAGAATTTTTTTAAAATTAATAAGGATAACGAATGAAAATTTAATTTACAAAAGAGCGGGTTTTTCGTTTGCTCAAAAATTTTTCAGTTTTGCACTCAAACACTCGCCATTTACACACTCGTCATCTACGTACTCCTCCCCATACAAGGATGTAGATTAAATGATTCTTTTTTGATATACTTCAAGTAACGCCTGATAACTTCCTCATAAATTATTGTTCTATTACTTTTCTTTGGGTCACAAAAAAAAGTCGTCGTTTTTCCTAAGCTGTCACAATGGCTTACTCCCTTAATTTTTTTGAACATATCAGATGGACTTTTTCAGAAAATTAAATATTTAAATATATTCTGAACGTCTTCTTATTTTTAATTTCTTTTCAGTGTGAAGTTCGTTTACCGCGCAAGGGCTATACTGTACCGCGTTTTGGTACCGTACAAGCCACTCTACTGAATCCCATGGGCACTGTAGTACGCATGTTTGTAATACCATACGATATGCGTGACATGCCTGCTTTACATCAGACATTCGTGCGTCAACGTATTTTGGCCGATGGTGGTCAAACGTCAGATATGTGTACTGAACATGTGCAACATAATGGTGTCGTTGATTGTGCTAATAATAATTGCAATAAAACTGTGACAATAAATTCCGAGCTATTGCAGCAGCAACGTGAAAAGCAAACTCAACAACAACAACTGCGTACACCGAATGCTAGAAACGAGAGCAATTTAGGACACTTTATATCCACGGAGCATATGAAAAGTCTGCGTTATTCAATACATTTAAGGTAACCAACCGATGAATGATAGAAGAGAAAAGTAAAGACGTAGCTATATTCGACTTAAACCGAACTTTACAATATCAATCTTGAACATAAGTAAACAAGACGGACAAATGGACTGACAAGCTTGCCAGTAACTCTGAATCGAGCGTTGTAGTAAAAGGTGGGCCTATCCTAAATCATAAATTTAACATAATCGTATGCCATAAGTTGTGGTGTAGGTTACAAAAATCGAAAGATAAATATTTGCAAGAATTGTTGAAAAATAATTGCAGAATTGAAATAAATAGCCTGAGAAGGGACAGGGGGATCAAAGTAGAAAGAAATTTTTTCAATTGCAAATTTTTGTCTTATAACTTTCGCTACGCGAATCTCTTAAATAATTGCTGGGCAGTTGGCAATAAAGCCATTGGTCAATGTTCATTTTATTCTGCAGACCCTTGCGATTACAAGAATTTGTAGTATATTGTTATGGCATGACAGAGAGTGGTGCAAGGTTATTTAGTAGAGCACAGGAGCATAACAATTTTTAATAAAAACTTGTTTATTTTATTTATTTAGATTTCAAACATCACGCTCTGGACGTTTAATGCTGCACACCGATATACGTTTATTGATCTCGAGGCGTACAGATTGTGATACTGCAGCTGCTCATGCCAAAGGTATTCTAGAGGGGCCCAATGATTTTGTAACCGATACTGTGATGCCCGCAAATCCTAAATATAGTGCCCGACACGATCAACAGACTAGTAGCAAGATTTAGTAGTTACTAAAATCCCTATGTGTCCCAATCGGTCTATATAAATTATTGCAACAAAAGATAACCGAACGCTGGCAAAGGATTTGCGATATGTGATTTATTATTGATTGATTAGAATAGAATGACGTGGTGTAAATAAATGCTTCGACGTTTACATATACGCATATATATATATACATATACGTATATATACATATATATGCATATATTTATATATATTATAGGTATAACTGCATGGACTAGTATGTATATATATATATATATATATATATTATATATATACATATATTTACATATATTTACATGTATATATATATATATATGTGTTTATATACATACATGTACATATATATATACATATATATACATATATATATATACATATATATACATATATATTTGTAGTTTATCCATTAGTAATCTGAGGATATTTATGGATATGTTTTTCTTCAAAATTTTTGTTTCCATCTACACCACCGTTGAATGACTTCAATATTTTTTCTTTTCTTATTTTTGAAGACACAATTTTTTTTTGAATAATTTTATTTTTTGATTTTTTATTAGTTTAATATTACATCATGAGTGCGTGCGTGTTAGTTAATTTTTTTTTTTTTTACATGAAACTTAACTGAATTTGTTAATACATTTGTTTAAAATCTTTTAATAGATATTTTGAAAATTAATTTGGCCTTCGGAAAATCAAAAAAAAAAAAAAAAAATTTGCAATTATTTGAATGTGATTTCCAATTAAAAAAAAAAAATTATTTAGTGCTAAAACTAAATTAAGCTATCAAAAATGTGTATTGCCGGCAGCTGTTACATTAAAAAAAAAAAGAAGAGAATTTGAATTACTTTAATAGATTTGCGATCAATTTTTATATTTATAAAAATTCCAAAATTTACTTTCTTTTTTCGTAATGTATTTTTTATGCTACACTTGTTCCTCCTAATTGATGAAATTTATAATACATGTAAATATAATTTTTTTTTTTTTCTTTTCCATTAACAAAACAATTTTAATACAAGTTGAATAACTCTGCCACGATTTTCTGCTGAGAGCAATATATTTGTATGCGTTTTATTCATTACAATTTTTTTGCTTTTTAGTTTTGTTGCATGGACCAATAACTTTGAAATTTTGTCTTAGCATTTTAAATAATTGATAACAATGATTCATAGTTAACCCTCAACTACATGCATAATAATAAAGGCTCACGTCGTGTTTAAAGCATTAAAATATACGTTAAAAAAAAAAAAGGGAGTTTTCTGATATTTTGTTTTTTAATTTATTGAATCTAAACGGGGAACCTGGTATCGCAAAAACAACGCAGGTTCGCCGGGTTGTTCAGACAAAAAGAAAAAAAATTAAGCAAGGAATCGTTCAATGTTCATATATATAAATTTAATTCTTTATTTATTAACCTTTAAAAAAAAAAAAAAAAAAAAAAAAAAAAAAAAAAAGTTCAACATATGACGGCTATAGGTATTCATACGATTCACATGAGGACTTTTCAAATAGATCGTCATATGTCAAGTGTTTGGGAAAGTGGTGCGATCCGAATTATCTACAAAGCGTTCGCTCATGGACCAAACCGCGTCAGTGTGTAACACCTTTCATATCAAAACATCTCAACAACTGCGGTCTATAAGTTGAATAGAAGAGTAGAAGACCAATAGAAGGACAGATGGACAGACTTAAAGCTTAAATCCGAAGTCACAATTGCAATTAATGTGTCCTGACAACCGCAGAGAGAAGTAGCGAGGACTTCTTCCTGTTGGTTGAACCAACTTCTGTTAGAAGTTATGTGGATGTTTGTCTGTAACGTTTGCCTTTCACTTCGCCTAGAATCTATTAAATTGAATTTCCTTCCATATAATATGAAAATGATATGTTAAACTGTTCCAGATTTGTTCATCGTGTTGCCTAACCTTTAGTTCGGATAATGTATCTTTCAAGAAACACATGATCATTCGTCCATCTCCATCAGAATCGGATCAGTTGGGTTGCACTTGTGCAACTTGAAGACTGTAAAGTTTTTCACTTTTGTTTACATCGCAGATAACTCGTTTCATTACCGTAAGTGCCGCAAGTTAAGATGAATGCACTACGGGAATAAAACAAAAGCTCTCTTAACAAATTTGCGACTTATCAACTGAACAACCTTTTGAAAGTTCAAAGAAAGCTTTAACTTTAGTTTAGCTAGTGTAAGGATATGAGGATTGGGACCCAAATTTTTACCTGCATATAATTATTTATATTAACCAAATCTTACCATCAAGAAGTTTCCCTCCGTCGTGAACAGAAGGGAAAATTTTTGAATCTCATAAAAACGTAATTTTCAGTAGTGAGGCTTTACTTAACGTTGCTTTAATTTTATCAGGATGCAGTTTGAAGTTGATTGTAATTGTTCAAGTACGGAAACCTTCTAGCAGACATTAGCGAATATAATATCCATGGTCAGCAAATTGGAACTTGACAAGAGCGCTCAGGCCAACTTTTTTATTGAATATAATTTTAATACCTAATAAGTGAGAGCATTATTTAAATAAATTATAAATATTTACGTACGAGCGACAGAGAAAGTGCAACGGGCAAGAATTTCGTATCGTTTTTAACTAACAGACGCTGGTAAATGCCTATATGCGCCTATCAATATTAGACTCTTGAAGATGAGCGTTTGTCTCTTTGTTCCTAAGAAAAACTATTCACAAATCGTGTGAAAAATTGTTCACAATTTTCGCCCGAAGAAAAGTTTTTCGTTGGAGAATTTTACCTCTGACAGTTTCGAGGAAGCTATGAAAACCATATGCTTCCGAATGCGGAGTCGTTCAAAATGGTCCATTATCTTTTATAATGTGCTTAAATGCTATCAATCATGCTTATGCTCTCAGTTAGCATAAGATCTGGAACTGATCTAAACTTGCTAGACCGGCCTAGACCGGGCGACTATCAAGTCGATAATTCCAAGTTCGATAGACCAAAATTTAATTAGGACTGCGGTTGCAGTTGTAGTGGGTGCTCTGCTATACGACAAGACATCAACCGACAAGGTATACAGGTCTGAGACTGCGCCCGCTTCCTGCCAGTTTTTGTCTCTCCAACCCTTCCCATCTTTGAATGCACGTATAGGCATCTCCCTGATGGACTGACTTGAAAAGCCATCGCTTAACGAAGTTTGAAATAAAACGTTGAATATAGTTTTAGTTGATCTGCATAGACCAAATTTTAAAATGAACGTTTTCGGTAAAATGGACGATAAACTTCTGATGTCGATTGAAATATTTCCTATTAAGGCTGACGTAAAAATTCGCCTGATCGATATAAACTGCCACGCCTGCACCCATTGTAATATTTTGAGATGATCGATAGCGTAGGTGAAACACCTTCATCACATGCCTACTGCATTATATTTGAAAGCGGACCTTTCTAAAATTAGGCGGGCAAAATTTTTGTTCGTGTCTTTTTGTCGGATATTTATTTAGGTCAGCTGATTTTGCAGATATTCTTTATACTCTGCAATGACTTCAAAAGGATACATATATATACATTTTACAGGGAGTTAGCGTAAAATAGGTTTCATATTCCGTTTCTAAAGCCGGCTTCACTAAACCCATAACCTCAGGGACGGTGCTTAGCTTTTTCTTCTTTATTATTGAACTCGCGGTGGCAGGATGGATACTGTTTTTTTTTGATACGGATGTACGGATCAAATTTGATCATAGTCTTCAATACAGTACAAACTCGATAACTTAATACATTACCACGCCTTAACAGATAATATATTTTCGGTATTCTAGATTGACTTGAAGACGGTTTTTAACTCTTCTTTTTGTATTTCGGATTTGCTCTATATTGTTCTTAATTATATCATTATCGGAGATCCGTATTGACATACGCGACTACTGAGTGATCGAATTGTTGTAATCTTTAGTTAAGCGATGCTTCCTGAGCATTACAAAAACATTTGAGAATCTTTGATCTAAGAAAGCGAAGGTTTGTTAATTTATTTTTAATTTTTTTAATTTATTTTTTATTTATTTAATAAAGTAAATATTTCCTTAGATTTTGAATTAAATAAAATCGTTAATACAGTAAGCAATTCTGTGATACCGATGTGAGCCTAAAGAGAAAAGTTATTGTACAATTAATTGAAGGAGAGGAAATTACTATAAATATAATGGAGATAATGAATAGATAAAGAGGAGAGTAATACTACTAATAAATATAAAAATTATAAAAAATAAGCCATCAATTATTTTTATGAACAATCTACAATTAAGAGTAACAAGAAACATAAAACATATATATATAAAATAAGATTATAAATTATATTAAACAATAAAGTAGAGGGAACATAATTTTTTTTTTTTTTTAGAATTATTCATAGATTAATGTATTTCGAAATTGTGGTTTGATAAACTTTAATCAGAAAATAATTTTACGACAGAGTTCATAATTTTCGCGCATGAATGTTTTTCATTTCATTTTTAATTACATTTTTAACTCACCACCGAAGGGTTTTTTTTTGTGCGTTTTTAATAATCAGAGGTTTTATGCCTTATATACTTGGCGAGACCTCTTTCTCTCTCTCCTTCCAATAACTGGTAATACAAGTAAAAAAACATTGCCGTCAGCTACGGCTCATCATCAAATAATCTACACGATCAATAGTCAAATAGCGCCTTATTTTGATATACTCTTCCAAAACTCAAAAAATCAAACTCCGGACCAAAACTCTTCATTGCATCAAATTGTCTTTAGGTTGAACCTGAGGCGGACATCTGACATCGGACAGAGAGACTTAGATCAATGCAGTCAATTTTTGGATTATGAAAGGCTGGTCTATCCCAAGTCCTTCTGGGTATTACACACAAACTTAACATACCCTTGTGCCACAAACAGGGTAGCGTTTAACTATATTTATTTTATTTATTACAGTCTCGTGGCGGCGACGAAGAGCTCTTTCGTAGGCTGTCAGTCCGTAAGCCTCGGTGATAAAAAATGGATATATAGTTTGTTAGTCACGAAACCGTTAAGAGCGAACTTTGAGGCGGTGACCTGGCGACATAATCTCTGAGGAGATTACTGTTTTTCACTCTTTGTGCCGCCGAGAAATTGGCTAGGGAGCTAGCTTGGCAGCTAGGGAAGCTTCAGAAGGTCCATAAAGTGCAAAAATCGTAAACTCCAGATCGCCGTCAAATTCTGATTCGGTCCCGGCAAACTCGTCTGTCCCTTTGTGTAACGTCTGTTGAGCACATTTCCCGCTTAAATTGGGATTTCGGCTTAATATTTTTCAAAATTCTTTTTGTAACATGAATCGGTTTTTGGAAGTAGGCTGCATTGATCGAAGGACAAACCTAAGGTACAATGGAAACTGACAAACAGTTCTGGTTTTAGAAGTAGAACATTAAGGGGCGATTCGTAATTCTCAAGATCGAAGCAAGATTAAATCTGATATTCGTGGATTATGGACTCGCTGTGACGAGTGGAGGATTTACAGCTGTCGATAAAGAATGCAGTTTTCTTACTATCATATGAAAAATCTTCCGACCGTAAAATGTGCTGCCGAGTAACTTATTCGAATAACGATCGAGCTAACTCGATATCGGGAAGCATCATAGATCGGCCCTTGATATTGTACTCATTACTCATGCAAGAGGTATAGCGGCAAAAATATCCGCGCATATATGATCGTACAGTACCTGCACAAGAGTGGAAAAAATCTGTCCGGCCCATCCAGTATTAAAGAATATCAAAATATCATTTTTTATGTTTTTTTGTTTCGTTATTTCTTTTTTAATGTAAAGGTGGTGGTGGTGGTGGTGGGTGTAGGATGTGAAAGATTCGGCTGCAGTCGAATTTAATTTTCTTACTTGTTTAAATCTATTTCAGTTTGCTTCTTCTTGATTATATCTAACAAACATTTATATGTATGTACACCTGTATTTATATTTCTGTTGATTTGTTCTTTTGTTAATTCATTACTTTTACGATGCTATGCGTCTGTTGGTGAATATAATAAGATTTGTATAAAATAACCTATACGTACACAATTAATGAAAAATATTTGGATTAACAATAAATGAATATTAATGTCAACCACAAAAGTATGCATATATATATATGCATATAAGTATAACAGTATATACTTATTTAACTGATTAATAATGCAATAAGAATTAACCAACAACAAAAATTGTAGTGACTTGAAAGTTCAATATTAATAAAGTAAAAATATTAAAAAAAAAAAACAAAAACAAATTGCATTATTAAAATGGCGATCCAAGTAGGCAGAACAAGATGTAACGTTAGCCAGTAAAGCAAACTTCGCTTTCGATAACCGAATTCTATCGGCGGTTGTGTGACTTAAAAGCGCGTGTGACGGAGACATAGAACTTTTCAGTTGATTAACAGGTCAGGTTTCAGCAATCACTTGACTTCGCCTCGTCCCTGCCGAGCAATTTTTCGGAGACGTAACTGCGTTAAGGCAATTTTCGTCAAATACTGCAAATCCTTTTGCTAGTGGAGCCACTGAATCACGGTAACGCCGCTATGCTGGAAACGACTTTCAATTTTTTGTGACTTCAGCACAGTTTGGATTCTTCTCTATGATATATTTGACAGCACTTCATTACTGCAATAACAGTAACGCTCGTACTTCTCTTGTTGTATTGGATGGTTCTAGTTCAAGCTAATCCAGGATAGAACGGACGAGTAACTTTATCATTTTTCAAAAAACTAAAAGCGTAATAAACAAATAATAAGTTTGGTGAGAAATTATTTGTACGAAGACTAATTTTATCGCGCCGCGCCCATTGATTTGATGGGTTTGCGGTTTCATGCTCAAAAAATCTGCCTAAGGAAGTAGATATCTTCAGGTGTTATGTACTGGTTCTTAACAATTTAATCCGGCATATATATATGCCAGCTGTTCTTTTTTTGGACATGCCCACTTTGCTACTTCTAGATTTCGGATGTCAATTTTCATCGAAACCCGTCAATCCTGAAAAGTCATTATACGGAATAAAATTTCAATTTTCCAAATTTCTTGGTAAAAGTGACTAAGTAAAACTTTAGACTGGTTGGGGAAATTTTTTGAACTCGATCTCATGTAATCACTCTTAAAAAGATGAAAGCTTTATATGGTAAAGAGGTCGAATTTCCAGTATTTCATGGTAAATAGACAGAAAAATCTACCTCACCGAATTTGGACCACGTGGGTCTACTTTTTGGATGCCGCCGCATACAAGTACTCTCATGAAACGTAAACTCTTATACGCTACAAAAGCCTAATTGTTACTTTTTTTGTAATGAAAATTTATTTATGATAGCAATTAAATAAAAAAATTACCACCATTGTTACCAAAAGGGACAAATACATGTTCTAAGCGGAGCGGTGTAAGATATGTTATAGCCGGCGATTGCCCGATTGTAATGTTCTTATTTGTTTATATTTTACATGTACGTAACAAATCTACACAAACAACACATATTGTCTTCCATATTGCACATATCTTCATTCATACATAGTGTATCTCCGTAGAAATGACCAATTTTCAGCTCGCATAGTCATCAAGTACATGTGTATAGCTCACCTACCGTTTGCCGTTCTGCAAGAATGAATTTATTGCTTTGTATTAATGTAATGCCACTGCAGATTTTACTATCTATTCGCGTTGACCCTTTGTGCGTTGATCTGAGTTACAGCGAATGGCAAAGTACTTTCACGTGTTCCGCTCAATACTTTTATCAATGTTACTATTTTTACTTACCGTTGTCGAATTCACTGTTACTTGGCGTTCTAGATTCCACAATATTCTACTGTTTTAATATATGCGCTACTTACCAGAATGGATCGTGCTAGAATCCATCTTTACCTACCGTTATGGCATTCAGCCTTATTATGTTCGTAATAGTGGAGACCATACTTATGCTCACCATACTAGAACAGCCACTATTCGAATTCATTGTTCCTATCTTATTAAGATCCGCCGTAGGCTATCAAAATGGACTGTATTGGAATCCTCTGGTGCTTACCAAAATAGTTCATCTTAGGATCCACAGTTACTTATCAGAATGGATAGCATTTGAATTCATCGGTCCATTGTTATCCACCGTATAAGAATCCTCCGTTAAAAGAGCGCCGTTAGTATAGACTTTTTAGAGCTGGCCGTTACCTATAACAACAGATCGCTTTAGAACCTTTCAGTGCCTATAGGCGTAGACTGTATTAGAATCCATCGTCACCTAACGGATCGTATTGAAATTCTCAGCGGCCGGAATCCGCTGTCACTTATTGGAATCTAATTAGTATACCAAAAGGCTATTACTCATGGATTTTTTGAAGAATTTTGGAAAATTGCAGTTTCATTTCTTGTAAGGAATTTTTTAAAATTAATCGCCATATGGGAGGTAGACATAAAAATTATCTAACTCATTAGGATAGGATCAAGGTCAACCAAAACTTATCGAAACATTTTAAAAATATGCCACCTGCAGTTCGAATACATAAATACTCAGGTTGACAAGCAGCTGGAAGCATTGAAATCGCTTCAAAAATTATTTGGAATCGATCAGTGCAATAGACGTTGAGTCTGTTTTATGTCCTTCGATGTATTACAATTGCAAAGGCTTACGACACCATATATGGTGTGTGGAGTGCGGTATACTCAATCACGCAATGGGGCTTTCCCTTCTTTCGTAAAGTATAATCAATTATAAAATTGTAGCATCCTCTGGTTGGAGTTTCAAGCTGGCTCCTAAATGTCTTCTTAATGAAATCGTCATAATACATTCAAAAACTTGTTGGAAGAAGACTTAGGTTTTTTATTTTGCACAGACTAGTCGTGAGCTGCTCTGCGCAATTGGGATGTTTGGGATGTGCAGCGAGCATATGGATGTGCACTCTAGCGTGCGATTAAATTTCGTATGTAAACTGATGCCGCGGTTGCGCAAGTAGAAAAATTCAGTTCATTCTTAAACAAGTAACACACGTTACCCGTTACTTTACACCAGCTCTCTTAATACACTTATAATGGGTTTTCAAACTAAGTTGTCAAGTGATCCGATTCGAACCATTTTCAATAGCGTTCGTCCTTTGGCTAAAATTGGTTGCTGCAGGAAATGTCATCAAAATATCGAAAAAATTGCGGCCTACAAGAACACAAGAAGGGGAAGATGGATGTACGGGCAGAAAAACAGGCGGATAGATAACCGTCAGGATCGCTTTCTGAATCGATCGGTGCAATAAAAGGTGGGTCTATCTCCATTCCTTCTCGGTGTTGTGAACATCCGCACAAACTTAATACTACTTAGTAGTGTAGGGTATAGAAAAAAAAAAGTCTTTCAAAATAACTTTCAATAAATATTTTAATAATTTAATGAAATTAACAAAATCAAAACATGTTTTCATAAATATATAAAGCGATATACGTACATATTATAAAATTGATGCGCTTACTCAATAATTACATTTTAACAATAATTACAATATCAACTATATCTCATAACAGTTAATAATAAATCCATAAAAGGGGTTTTTTTTTTATTTATTTATTATTATTATTATTTTTTTTTTTTTGTGTATAATTCGTCTCGTATATACATTTGCATAAACAATCTCGTTATTGAGAAGCACTGAGGCTTTATAAATGCACGAACTATTGACATCGTATTCACACTATAAAGGCCACAAAAAAAAAATATATATGTATATATAAGAAATTCGTTTAATGAGAATACAATGTCACACTAACGAATTATTTTAAATGAATTTTACTTTATAACTCTTAATAACTAACTAATAAAGACGCAGCAATGTATTGCGCCATATGTGTATGTGTACCCTGATCTCATATTAAATGCGATTTAATAAAATGAGCGTCGACGATCATTCCGTATACTGTTACATAGGCCACAACTCAAAAATGTGACTATGAGCTGAAATCCGAAATGAAATGAAAAGAAAAGAAAGCAAAAACAGAAAACAAATATTAGAAAATTGAAGGAAGGAATAGTTTTTGAAATGAAATGAAAAATAATTAATTTTTATATAAATAATACGTTTCTCGAGAACTGTTGCTATAACTTCATCGATTCGATAAGAAGTTTCATCAGTCTCTAATCTAGGTGTAAAGTTTCATACCAAAATGTTCTTTAATCAGCATATTCCGTGGACTAATAGCAAAGCTAAGACCTCTCCAGGTTTTATTAAACGATGATCTAAAGGATCTGGCAACGTCGTTATAAGCAAAGGATTGTAAATGTCATTCGCCAGATCATGCTTAGAATATGCCGCGCTACCATAATCTCCTAGTTATAGTTGTTTCTTTGACAAGCTGCAGTCGGCGCAGAAGCGATTCCCCTTGTTCGCCTTGCGTACTACAGGATGGCAAGCAAACATAACACTCCCTTTTATGTACCGTCTCTAGCGGAAAAGAGGTAGGAATGCTAAGAGTCTCAAAAACTTTTTAAACAGGATTGATTTCAATATTCCGGTAAAGGCATCAAGATACTGTGAGCCCCTTAGATTAGCTCAATGTCGTACAAATTTTGCGCTGCGGGTATATATGTAAAAATTTTAGCGATGATGTTGTTAAAAGAAAATTTCGCGGGAACTAACTGAGTGGGTTGGTCGTCTGATAATAATACATAAGGCTCTATAAGGGATAGTGTATCTATCTTTTAGTTTCATGTAAATAGCCTCTGAATATTTATGTTTCTCTGCTATGAAAATTCATTGAGTGTAAGCTTTGTTAGACAACAACAAGTGAAAACGCTATAGTGCCCCCACCATTAAATATCCCATCATGCCTTTATAGCGATTTTTTAAAATACGACGTTATACGGGAAATTTTTTATATAGAGTCGATCTGAATTATTTTCAAGAGCGCCCGTCTCTTTGACAAAACAAGTCTTATCAAAATATCTGAAGAACTGCGACCTGTAGACAAAGAGCAACACAGACGAATAGCTTAGATGAATTTATCTCTCTTACTGTTACGTACATCCACACAAACCTAATGTGGCCCTGTATCCCAAGTGATGGAGGGCATAATAAGCGCAAGAACAAAACCAAAATCCGAAATCCTTATTAGGATAGGATCCAAAACATGGGCCGGAGTAAAGTTCTTTTCTTTTTTTTTTAAATTACTACTATGGTCCGATTTTCATCATGAAGCATTGATTATTAGACCCGTTTTGTATGATGAACTTCAATTCTCGTTATATAAGAGGGGGTTCAAAAAATAGCTGCAGCCAGTCTAAAGTTGTCACAACAATTTAGAATGCCGAAATATTATCACTTAGCCCCCTTTGTCGGCGAATTTTGAACATTGAAATCCTATCTCATAGAACAACATTTCCAAATAGGACGTTGCATGGCGTGTGGTCGGAAAAGTGGATCCGAACCATTTTTAATAGTGTTCGTGCTTGGGTCAAAGTACGTTTTTAACGTTACCAACGTTTCATCAACGTATCTCAAAAATTATGATCTGCAGCTTGAACACAAATTTACATGGATACACATCGGACGGACAGAAAGACTTAAATCGATATCCTAAGACCTTCTGGGTGTTACATACGTTCACACAAACTTAATATACCCTGTACCACAAGTTTTGTAGGGTATAACAAAGCCATCGCAATCGTTTTCGCAGAACAGTCTTTCGAGTAAAGCGATCCCGCAAAATAAAGGAACGTTTATAAACATAAGAGCTTGCATAAAAAAATGCCGACTAAGGTAAAATAGATAAAGGTGTCATCTTAGGAAGAATATTTCATTAAATGATGAAATAACTAGAATATAATATGTCATGTGATTGTTCTCATGAACCACCGCCGACTAAGGTAATATCGAGCAAATTGGAATTCATTTGGTAAAGTAGAGTGACACATTACTCAGTAATTGCGTAGGATGTCATACATATGCCGTTACGACTTTCAGATAATATTATTATTATTATTATTATAAATTTAGCCGGAGAATAAATTCTAAGACTAAAGTCTTAAAGCACTAGCATCTGAGGCTATCGGCATTTATTAAAAACTCCATCGCGCGCTTGAGATTTGAACCTACGACCATTGAGTTGCTAGTCGAGGCTCTTGCCTACTCGGCCACTCAGGCGGATTCAGATAGTACCAGTCTCCAAATGAAATGTACCACCGTTTACAAGCTTACAAGTTGCAGTTGCTTTAGCGAGGCTACCTTCACAATTTTCAAAGCAACGGAAAAATCTATAGTTCAAACAAAATATTACTTGGTCTCTACGCCATTGAGACAAACGGTAGAGAAGCGATAAAGCTGAATCCTCTAACAATAACAACAACAATAACATGTTGATGATTTATAGTCCGTCAAAACCCAAAAATCGGCCGAGAAGGTATACCCGCAGTTATACCATGCGCACCTCTGCGCTATTCATCGACTGCCTTGAAAAGAGACAAAGAATCAATCGTGGATATTCCATAGCGTTACGAATGCATTCGAATGAGGAAATTGTGTAAAGGAACGGCCCCAAATGAAGAAGAAAAAGAATGAATGCTCTTTCAACAAGACCGTGCATGGTGCATTGCACCAATTGCATTTCAACGTGCTTTCACATCTATCGTATTCTCTGCATTAGCCTGGACCAATACCTGGACGAAAAGAGATGTGGCTCAAATAAAGGGGTGATGGCTGAAGTTGAAGCATATTTCGAAAAGTTGGACAAATCATGCTATAAGAAAAGCAAAGAAATATTAGAGAAGCATCAGAATGAACGAATTGCTTGTCAAACGTTCCTAAAGGTTTGTTCTCTTATTAGTCATCCTACGAACTTATTGAGCGATGCACTAGCTCGTTTGGAACGAATTGCTTAATAAAATTCATTGAAAGGCAAAGCAAATATTTTTATTGTTTAAACGCGAATGAGCTCTGAGCAGATATTAAATCAAATCTTTACAACGACTTACCTCCAGCACGATTAGAACCCAGGCAAGCCAATTGAAAATATGCAATAAATCTGTAACGAAATGCTCAACTTTTGCGCGGCAACCTATCGCAATTAAATTTTCAACCACTTTACTATCACCATTCGCGAAGCAAGTAGCAGGTGGCAGACGATCATTAACTATATAATCTTGTGGACTCGCGCGACCACAACATTCGAACTGAAAATCATAAGAATAATATTTTTCATCCAAATTTGCTCATGTTTTGAAAAAGTTACCGAACTTTCATAAATTGACATCGCACCGGCACTCTTCAATTCGTTCTCCCAAGCCTCGTCCAAAATATTGGCCAAATTCGAACCGACATTATGATCGCCATTTGTCAATAAGAACGCTAAAACCGCTTGGGCTATAATACCCAATATCATGAACACTATAAACTGAAATTCAAATCATTTTCAATTTATTTAAAAATAATATAAAAATATAGTTAAAAAAATAAACACTCACTGTTACAGTGCAGCAAACATTTTCTCTAATTGCTCCGATGCATAAGAATAAGAAGACGACGCATGCGATAACCCCAATAGAAATATATGCATAAGCGCTCATGTAACCGATTTCATTAGTGGCATAATTCAAATACAAATATGTCCCAAATCCGATTAACACAGCAGCCATTAGCTGAAAATATAAATATTTACATCTCTTGCCGTCAGTTGCTTCGTTAAATAAAAGTGAAATAATTAATTTGTATACCTGCTTACAGCAGGCACTTGTGGTGCCAGGGTATGATATATTAAATGCGTGCGGATGTATGTAACACCGAAAAAGACCTGAGATAAAATCGCCTTATATTATACAAGAAGTTATTCTGAATCGATCTAGGCTTGCCTGTCCGTCCGTCTGTCTTGTCGCACAGAGATATTTTGATGGAACTTGATGGAACTTGATGGTACACTGGCGTGTCTTGTTCGCTATTGAAAACGCTTCGGATGAAATCACTTTATCCATTGCTTCTTATACAACCCTTTGGCCTTTTTTGGGAAGTTGTTGTGCATGAGTAAATGTAAGGCGTAGTATTTAAGGGTGGGCCGTGTTCTTTTTTTTTGTAAATGATGTCCCCTACGGGAGTAAGTTAAGACAAATCCTCGGCCGTCAGGACAGTAATAGTCTATAGCTTATACGCCATACGTTGTCGCATAGGTAGCCGAGTAGGAGCAACGATTTTATGACCAGGAGAACGCTTACCACAGACAGACATGCTTACATTGATTCAGAATTTGATGTTAATCAAGAATATATATATACTTTTCGGGGCCTCTGAAACTTGCTTCTGGGCCTTGCAAATGTTTTGACAAAACGAATATATATCCCTCACCCTCCGGTGATGCTATGGCTATAAAAATACGGCTATACGTCTAGGTTTCGTATTTGAGTGTTAGCTTTGAAATCCGATCAGAATTTCTCGACCGTCACGTCTAGACCAATAATATTGCTGTTATTAATATAATTTGTTTTTTAAATTTAAAAGTGTTATATAAAGGAGCAGAGGAAAAATCGTGATTATTGATTTACACGACTGCACTCATTATTCACAGAAAAAAAATAAAAAAAAAAAACGATTCAAAATGTATTTCATTTGCGCGCACTATTTATACACAAAATTCTATTACTCAACTTTGTTTTCTTAAAAAAGGAAAGAAGAAAAATGAAAAAATGAACACAAAAGTTTAGCGCTGACCGGGCGGAGTCGCTTGTATGTAATTAATTTGTTATACCCTAAGTCATTTGTGGTATAAGTATATGTTAAGTTTGTATGGAACAACTGTAAGGAATTGAAGAAGATCCAGCTTCTGTTATAGCTATCCATTCAGAGCTATTTTTTGAATCGATCTAAGCTTGTCTGTCCCTCTGTCCATTCATCTCTTCGCCTTGTTTTACTCTGTTCAACAATAGATCGGAATTTTCGAGGTATTTTGATGAAATTCGGTACATTAGCTTGCTTTGGTCCAAGGACTAACCTGGTCCGGGATGGACGACTTTTCCGACCACTTCCGATATAAGGCCTTATTTTGAGAAGTCATTACACGAATAACTAACTGTATTAAACGAGATGGTATACGATATTTAATGGTAGACGGCACGTCCCATTGTGGCGTTTGAAGTTGTTTTTATTTGCACGATAAAGTTAGCTTCGAAGCAAGAAAATATAACGACTCTTATCTTTTTAAATAATCGATTGTAACTTGAAGCGCGACATTCTACGACTACGACTACGAAATATCTGACATCGTTTTTTTTCTTTTTTTTTTTTGCAATTTGGCAGCAGTTTGTACTTAACGCTAATATACCAAAAATCATATCTTTGAGTGGCTCAATACATGTGAGTCAGCAATACATTGAATGGTTATTGAACTTGACGTGGAGAGAAAATTTGAAACCAAGTTTAATGCCCTAAATCAAAACTGATCTCATTATTTAAAAGAAAGAAATCATTATTGTTTTTTTTTTTTTAATTTCGGCAAACTCGACTGCTTTTTAACGCTACCTCTTACTTGTCAACTAATTATTTGAGAGCTAATATCTTCTTTGAAAGTTCCTGCGAATGCAATTCCAACAAAAAATAAAAGAAAGAAAAGCGAGAAAATTGTTCTTCTTCTCGATCATCATCTTCAGTATGGACTTTCAATACACTTAATTTAAAGAATTTAAAAATTTCCAAATTTGCATTAACGCGTAATACGCAGCTAAGCGTTTACTTATGGGACGAAACCATTCTGGATTTTTCTTTAGAAAATTAACTTTTTACATTGACTTAAATGATCCCTTAAATAATTAAGAAACACATAAAAAACATGGTTGTAGGCGTGGTCTTATTTTAAATGGTTACTTGAAACTTGACTTGAAACGATTATTCAAAATTCTTCTCTTCTCTTCATTCGAATTTTGTTTGCAATACCATTAGGACAACATTCTCTGCTGAAACACGGAACAATTTTCGATAAGTTTATCTGAGCCATTGCATGTTTTTACTACTTTTAAAACATACTTACTATACGGTATATAAAGCTTGTGCCCATGATGTATGCAGCAATTAGATGGACTTGTGATGGACTCATCTTTCATTATACTCATCGATTTGGAATCGCTTTCTGAATCAGGCCGAGCTTGTCTGTCTGTCGATCAACCCGTCTTGTATTCTTGTGCACAATGTACAGGTCGCAATTTTTGGCACATGGGCGTGTTTTAGATTAAAGACTGACGCTATTAAAAATAGGGTCGGGTCACTTTCTTGATCACTTGCCATATAAAACCTTATTTCGAAAATATGTTGTAAGAATAACTGTATTAAGTGATGTGGTGTAGGGTGGATGTAACGGTGGATCATGTTCCACTATACTGTTTTTAATTGCTTTTATATTCAAAATTGCACAGAGGAACACACGGCCCGCAGAGCCTCGTAAATGAAAACTACCTCGCGAGAATTATGCTCCGATATTGCCATTTTTAAGCGGATTAATCAAATTAATATTAATTTTGTTTTAAATATTTTTCTCCTAATATATTGAACACAATATATAAAACACTTGCGTAAGCAATCGATCGTGAAAATGAAAAATACATCAGTCTCTTCAGTTAGGTGGATAAAAGTGAAAGGTTTGGAAAGTTGAACAGAATTATTTCAGAAGCATTTCTTGATCTTTCGCCTATACGATTTTTCATATATGCTTTTAATCGCTTCTTACAATCGACTTTCCGGTATTCGGATCGAGCGATTTCGTTTTAAAAGTAAAACTCTCTCCTAAGGCACAAACCCCATATTTCATTATAATTTTCATTGCAAGTAACAAGTAAACTCTTAGAGTCGTTCACAACCCGCCACTACATACCCTACGCCATTTCGCTTAATACATGTTTTCATACAACGACTTTCCAAATTGAGGCGACCTAGCGGAAGTGATCGTAAAGATTGATCCGATGCGAGGTATTTTCGATAGTGGTCGCCCTTGGTCCAAAACCCCCCGGTGAACCAAATTTGATAAAGTACTTCAAAAATTGCGTCCTGTAAGTTGAACACAAAATAAAGACAGACAGACGTTGGAATAAGTGGGAAATAAGTTTAAACTTTCGTCGTTAATCGTAATTGTCGTGGGTGTATAGTTAAAACGATCTTGGTCATTTTTACCCCGAGTACGACAGAAACTTTTCAGAAATATATTTCAAATCGAAAGTTATAGATCAGAATTAGGAAAAAATTCGTTTGAAATGTGAAATGTCGGTGTTCTCCGAGGTTGTTTTAGTTTCTTCTGCATTGTGAGCGTGTATCTGAACGCACCACGACCAGTTTTGAAGCTCACTTCCTTAATCGGTCAAAAAGTCCTTGTGCCCAATTTCAGATTCTTATCTTCAATTTTGCGCCTAAGACGATTTGCAAGATTTATCCATCAAGTTGACAGGTTTTCGTGAAAATAGATACATAACAACATCTAGGGACGTGTACTAATGGTAGTGTAGACGAAAGAAGTATATTCTAGGACTCAAAAAAAAAAAAAAAAAAAAAAAAAAAAAAATAGGAAGAGCGTTAATAACTAAGACTATCGGCACTTTTTTTCTTAAAAGGTAGAGACCAGATGGCTAGTCTAGTATAGATATGTATGCATATTCGCGGCATTACATTATTAGAAAACAAATATATAACATCGAAAGTTATTTCCGTTGAATCTACGAACTTTTCAGCTTAAAATCGGAAACTCATCAGATTGAAGGATGCCGCAAATCCTGGGTTAAGTAGAGAAAATCCCAAATCAAACAATACATTCTTCATAATGCATCCACTCGACATTGTCAGTCCAATGCCATTTGCTTATAGAAAAAGGTGCCAGCGCTCTCCGTTAGATGCATTCCTAAGATGATAAATTTCCATCGTATTTAAAAAATTGTATAGATATATAAAAATTTGGAAAAGGAAATCGCTTATATTACATGTATATATATTTTGGTCAGAAGAGTGTCTTCTTCAAATTTCTAAGTTTCTTCTCATCTAATTGAAGCTGTTCGCTTCTTCTCTGCTGTTTTTATTACATATATATATATATTTTGGTCAGAAGAGTGTCTTCTTCAAATTTCTAAGTTTCTTCTCATCTAATTAAAGCTGTCTGCTTGTTTTCTGCTATATTTATCACATGTACAACATGTGTTATTTAAATTTATTTTGTCGCCATATGTGACATCATGGCTATACGTTTACTTCGAACTTGGTGGGTGAAGGGAGAACAACTTAAGTGAGAAGACAATTTAATTGAGACGCTAAAGGCAAACAAATTACCAAAGAAGCTCGCGACATCGATTATATTGTATTTGTTTGACATATGCATGCTTCATATCATCGAAGGACATAAGTAATGGAAATTCTTCAACCATTTATTTATTGGTTGCGCACATTCAAACACAAGTAAAATGTAGACAGTATAAGCATAGACATGAAAAGCAATTATTCAAATCTTATATAAAACATCTCTTTCTCTCTCACTCTCACTCTCACTCTTTCTCTGTCTATCGTTATAGAAGAATTCATGATTCCTTTTTTCTTAGTCATTAAATTCATATGAAATTATCTGATGTCAGCATCGAGCTATTTTGGTGCCACACCTTTTTATTATCTAATTTAATATTATATCCGC